GAGAGAGAGAGAGAGAGATTTTGTGCATAATTACATTAATTAATCTGTATAATCACATTAATAATTCTGTATAATCACAGTAATAACTTGCATAATTACAGTAATAATCATTATAATTACATTAATTAATCTGTATAATCACATTAATAATTCTGTATAATCACAGTAATAACCTGCATAATTACAGTGATAATCGTTATAATTTCATTAATTATTCTGTATAATTACAGTAATAACCTGTATGATTACAGTAATAATCATTATAATTTCATTAATCATTATAATCACATTAAATATTCTGTATAATTAAAGTAATAACCTGTGTGATTACAGTAATATTCATTATAATAACAATCAATCTGTATAATTACAGCAATAACCTGGATAATTATAGTAACAATCATTATAATAACATTAATTAATCTGTATAATTACAGCAAAACCCTGCATAATTACAGTAATAATTATAATCACACTAATCTGTATAATTACAGAAATAACCAGTAAAATTACATTAATAACCATTATAATCACTTTAATCAATTTGTATAATCACATAATTAACCTTTATAATTACAGTAATAATCATTATAAGCACATTAATTATTTTGTATAATTACAGCAATAAGCTGCATAATTACAGTAATAATCATTATAATCACTTTAATTAATCTGTACAATTACAGAAATAATCTGTATAGTTACAGTAATAATCCTTATAATCACTTTAATTAATCTGTATAATTACAGTAATAATAATTATAATCACTTTAATTAATCTGTTTAATTAAATTAATAAATTATATATTTGCAGTAATAATTTGTGAAATGACAGTAATATTCTGTATAATTGCAGTAATAATTACTAAAATGGCAGTAATTATCTGTATCGTTACAGTTATAATTAGTAAAATAAAATTACAGTGATAACTTGTAATTATGGAGCAAGAAATGACTGTTTTTATAGATTATCTACAGTTTTTATTCTGACAGTTTTTTAATGTTATTTTACAGTTATTTTCTGCACCCCTGCTGCCAGAAAATTGTCGTTTATGTTTTTTTTTTTTTTTTTTTTTTACAGTGTTTTAAAGTACAATGGAGGAGGAGTAGGAGTGAAAAGAGGGTTTCTTCAAGATGAAGATAACTGCGGTAAGAAACTCTGGGTATTTAAAGTGACTTAGGAATCATCTGATAGGTGAATCATGTGATAGCCAATGTGGAACCAGCCATGGTCAATCATAAAGACGTGATCCTCTCGAAAAGAGTTTATAAGTAAACCACACTTAAATTTGGATAAAAAAAAGCAAAATAAGAACCATTAAATTACAGACATTGACCATAAAACAGACAGTAAATTACAGAAGTTTACTTAAATTTAAATGTCCAGTAAATGTAAGTAATTTACTGTCTGTTATTTTACGGTAATTGGCTATAATTTAACACCTGCCGGACAAAAAGGTATAAAAATAAAATAAAAATAAAAAAAACAGATTTTTTTTGTGTGATTTTGATTTTTTCTATATTCTATATTCACTATCTCACTGTTTATTGAATGCTTTTAAAATAGAGAGGCAAGTTCTCTTTCAATATAAAATATTAATAATACAAAAAGTTGAATAAACAGGTTTGTGGCTTTTTTATTAATTCAGCATTTGTATTAAAAACACCTTTATGAACTAAATTGAATCAAGAATCATGAATTAAATAAACATTTCAAAACTCTGAAGATTGTCCTGAGACTCGTACACTAAGACATTGGTCTCCAGCTTTTGCTGATACTTATATTCAGTTATCTGCTTTGGATCCATCTGTGAGTACAGGTCTATAATCAGGAAAACGGTTTCTCAATTTCTGCAGATATTCATGAGTGTGCGCCAAGAGCCCACCAATGATCCCTTCAAATGCTGCATACAGAAGCCGCTCACGAGGGTTTGGGATGTTCTTGGATTCATCTGTGTGTGTGTGTGTGTGTGTGTGTGTGTGTGTGTGTGTGTGTGTGTGTGTGTGCGCATGAAGGGAGGTCGTGAAAAATTGAAGCCTTGGCTCCAGCTCTGCCACAGATCTCAGCATTTCCCTCATGACCGCCTTGTTTTGTATTCACTTCTTGTTATTTGAAGCGCTATATTCTGCCTGTGCAGGGCTTTTGAAACACACAGATAGGTTTCAGCGGGGACGGAAGAAACTGACAGGTCAAAGCAACTTCCCTAGATGAAGAAAAGTGTCTTTTCTGCTGCACCTGGTCCCTGTGTACTGAATCATGCTTCAGCTTAAGCATACACAAATATTATGGAGGAGGACAAGTGGCTCCAGCTAACCATGGATTAATTTTAATACATGAATAATGGAGTGTCTTGCTTAGGAAGTGAGTGGATCAGCACTAGGGTCCATTTCTAGCTCTTTCAACAGACCTACTACCTTAAAAAAGTGTATTTTCAGACTTAATTGAAAGAATTAACAAACTAATGTAATATTTTTGAATGGCGACCATTTAACACTAACTAGATGATTATTAGTTTGCATTTTTAGCTGTTTATTAGTACAAAAAAAGTTAATATTAATGCCTTATTCTGCATCTGCAATTAAGCATTTGCTTTATCCCTTAAAGGGATAGTTCAGCTAAAAATAAAAATGTAGTTACTATTTACTTTTATGAGTATTTGTTGCTCTTACTATGGAAGATAATGGGTAAAAGTTTTCAGCTTTCTACAAAACATCTGTGTTTAACAGAAGATAGAAACTCAAAGGTTTGAAACATGCACAAGCCGAGCAAATGACAGAATTTAGATTTTTGGGTGATCTATCCCTTTAAGTAGCCCTACACAGTTCTATTAATTGAACAAAAAGAAGATAGTTTGAAGTATGTTTGAAAATAATAGGCATTGACATCCTTACTAAAAAAAATAATAAAATAAAAACAGAAATATCATAGTCAATGGCTCTAGGCTTTCATCGTTCTTCAGAATACTGTTTGTGTTAGAATCAGGCCTGTGCTTTATACTTTTTTTTTCACATTCAAAGCATTCCTAGCTTAAGATCCCTTTATAGTTAGTTTCAAAAGCCCATCAGTATATATATATTTTTGTTGTTGCTGTACAGATGCATTTGACCACACAAGCATTTACACTGTGAACGCAATCTAATGTAATGCATTTTCATACACTAGAAGTGGTTAAAAGCCTAAAAAGTTCAGACCCTATTTATGTCCGTATTTAGTGTTGTCCTCTTGTTATTGACAAAAACACATCTTAAAAAGAGTAAAATGGGATTTAGGGGTAAAAAAAAAAATTATTCAGAATTTTCATCTCAATAAACCTTACAACAAACATTTGCAATAAATAGGCTTTGATGCAACGGGTTGACCTTTGTTTTTAAGTTAGAAGTGCAGTAGTGCACAGTTACTTGCAAGAAATATGCTCACTGGAAATGTGTGATTTTAGCTATGTTTCTATGAAACCCCAAAATATATATTTATACTCTAATAAAACAAAACACAACGGTCACACAGGCTTCAGATGTAAAAATACAAATGCAACACTTTTTTTTTCTTCTTGAAAATATGTTTCATGTGTGTTTCATACTGTATGAGTTTCACATGTGTTCCACATACCAGGGCTCTTTGGTGCAACCAATTTGGTCAACCTAATTTCTCAATAGTGCAACTTTAAAAAATCTGAGGTTGCACAGCCATATCACCCTGGAACCCAAGACTAGTTACTCACTGAAGCTAAGGAGGGATGAGCCTGGTCAGTACCTGGATGGGAGACCACATGGGAAAACAAGGTTGCTGTTGGAAATTGTGTTAGTGAGGCCAGCAGGGAGAGCTCAACCTACGGTCAACCTACGGTCTGTGGCCTATAACGCCCCAGTATAGTGAAGGACACTATACTGTCAGTGAGTGCCATCTTTTGAATGAGATGTTAGAGCAAGGTTCTGACTCTCTGTGGTCATTAAAATTCCCATTCTCTAAAAGAGTAGGGATGTAACCCAGGAGTCTTGGCCAAATTCCCTTCATCGGCCCTTACCCATTATGGCCTCCCAATCATTCCTCCACCAAATTGGCTGTATTACTATCTCTCCACTCCACCAAGCCTGTGTGTGGTGAGCGGACTGGCGCCATTGTCCTGTGGTTGCCAGCACATCATCAAAGTGTTTGCTGCACAGTGGTGTTGGTGTGGCGAGACCCCCCTCATGACTGTCAAGCTCTTTGGGTGTATGGCCATACATGATAAATCATTCACTCATTAATTTTCTTTTCGGCTTAGTCCCTTCATTTAACTGGGGTTGCCACAGCAGAATGAACTGCCAACTTGTTTAGCATGTGTTTTACGCAGTGGACACCCTTCCATCCGCAACCCAACACTGAAAAACACCCATACACATTTGCATTCACACACATACACTATGGCCAAATTGGTATATTCAATTCACCTATAACACATGTCTTTGGACTGTGGGAGAAACCGGAGCACCCACGCGAACACAAGGAGAACATGCGAACTCCACAAAGAAATGCCAACTGACCCAGCCGGTCTTCTTGCTGTGAGGCAATTTATTCCAGGTGTTTTAATTCTACATGGTCACAGAGCTCTGATATATGCATTTGCAGAACCCAAACCTCAATATAACTTGCCTTAAAATCCAAAAAAAAAGCAACTGACGAATTCCAGTTGAATCCAGAAGTTGAGGCTGCTCTTAAAATGTGATGAGAACAAAGATACATTTCAGAAGGCTGATGTTTTGTGTGCGTAATATTTAGAATAGTTTCAATTGAATGTCCTGATTCATGCCCCAAACTTGTCATTAAAAATCTTTTGAATCGTCTATAAAGAAAATGAATGGGGAAAAATAATTCCAGAACCAAGGCTGCTGAAAAAAAAAGACCTGCGGTGATCTATTGCATTACTGATTTGACAAGCTAAATTACATTTAAACTAGACTGAAGTGCAATCTCATACCTCATACTTTACGACCCTGGCTGGCAGGCAGGAAGAGCTTCTTACCATTGAAAGTGGAATGATGGCCTGGATGTCCTTCTGCACAACCGTGAGCTCGGTGACCACCTTCTCAGCATCCGAGGTCGGATTCTGGCCCCGGTAATCAATATTCCAGTTGATCCTTCTAGTGACTGATTGGCTGGTGAAATTCTCCATCTCGAAGTCTAGCTGCATGATTTCAATACTCCCAGCCATGTCCCTGAAGAGAAACAACACTGTAATAAGTAACAAGAAGAAACAAAACAATGGTGATCCAGCAAAACATAGCCATTACGCTCACTTATAGGAGTCTAATTAGGGTCAGGTATGCATTTAAGCTTTAAACGGCTTAATGTGCTGGTCATCAACGGAAACAGATGTTCTGTCATGTATTATGTGTTATATATCGAAACAATCAGCAAACTAATCAATCAGAGAGCCCCATCTGTTGTTTGGGACTGGATTACAAGGGCTAAAAATGGATTTGCAAATTGCAAAGCTAATGAAAGAAATGCAAACTCAAGATGGAGTGTGCGTATGTGTGTATGTATGACCCAAGTGATGCCTACATGTAGAGGTTAATCATGATTAATGGATTGAGCTGAGGTAGATTACGTTAAATACATGCATGTGTGTGTGTACAAAAAAAAGATGATGTGAGAAAAATGAAATGAAGTAATTAAAACTTAATGAATGCATTCAAGTGATCAGAAGTGACGCTAAAGGCTGTTATATTGATACAAAACATTTTAATTCTGTTGCACAGTTTTCATGATGCATGAATGGACGAAGGAACTAATAAAGGAACAAATGAAGGAACGAAAAAAATCTGGGGTTTTCCACAAAATATTAAGAAGAACAACTGCTTGCAAAACTGATAAACAAATAAAAAATTAGTCAATCAGATTACTTTAGATTATATTAGAATAAAAACTGAAGACTGGACAAAAATGAAAATTCTGATCATAATTCTAAATAATATTTTTTAAATAACCATAACTTTTGTATATTGCACATACACAATAAAACATTTTAAAGTATATTTGACAACATGATCATTCTCCTAATTGTCCACTGCAAATTTATATATTTATATAATTTATACATATATTTTATGTATAATTATTATAATTTATACAATTTATATAATTGTTTTTATATATATATATATTTTTATAAATATTATATATATTATATATATATATATATATATATATATATATAAATAAAACACAACCCCCCACAGAGCTTGCTGAGGCCCCCTTGTGGGCCGCGACCCCCGCCCCCCCTGTTGGGAAATGCTGCACTAGACAGTTTACTTAAACTCTTTACTCTAACACTTACTTCTCTGAGTGGTCTTCAGTGTATTGACTCTTCATGTTGAATCGCTGAATGCCGTCTCGATTGGAAGTTGCTTTAGACAAAACTGTCTACTAAATGACTACATGTAAACGTAAATGAGTGCTATTTTATCAAGTCATCTGTACTGTCACTTAAGAAATTTAATGTGCAATTGATCATCCCCTGGTATTTTGTCCAAATAATTCCCATAAAAAAAGATTTTTGGGTCACACTTTACAATAAGGTTCCATTAGTTAATGTTAGTGCATTTACTAACATGAACTAATAATGAACAATACATATACAGCATTTATTAATGATAGCAAATGCGTTATTAAAATACAAACTCATGCTTGTTATCACTAGTTAATGCACTGTGAGTCAACATGAACTAATAATACGACTGTATTTTAATTAACTGACGTTAGATAGACGTGAATAAACACTGCAATAAATGTATTGTTCACTGTTTTTACATTAATAAGTGCTTTAACTGACACTAATAAAATCTTATTGTAAAGTGTTCCTGACTTCCGATAGCAAGCTTTATCATCTTTTAAGCTGTATATGTGATTCAGGATGATTATGAAAATAAATGTAGTCCGCCATTGTTTGACCATACCGAACGTCCTACTCCAAAACCTCTTTTTTGCTTGAACTAATATTGATGCATACTGAGCCATTCAAACAAACACAGCAATGCCAAAAAAAAACAATTGTTTACACTTTTTAGGAGAATCCGCCAATAAAAGGCTTACTTTTAGTAGTCTATTAAGCTGGGATTGGCAACAAAATAAAAATGTAAACAGCAGAAAAAAACCCACAACACCTATAATGCAAAGCAATAAAAACAAAGATGCTGCACATTTATATAACAATAATCTTTGATTTCAAGCGCATTGCTGAAATGAACACAAATGTGGTCATAAAAACAGCTGAGCAGTGCAATCCAGCAACACACTGGAATTAAATTGGAAAAAAAAAATGCAACTGTGCCCGGCAGATAGCTTCTTCAGAGCGTTTGCAGGAAACCTCCAAAATGGATAGTGACAGGCTAAATGAGTTCTGTCTGTTGATTCTATGCCACACACATCAGGGATTATTTCCTTTATCTGAGACTCGTGTTCTACAGGTAGATGTGCTGATAGTAGCTGACAACCACACCGAGAGAGAGACCGGCCAAATTATAATACTCCTCCCAGGGAGCGAAGAAGCCTGTGGAAAAATGCTGCAGGGTTATCAAAATGTTTTCCGTGGGGGGTAATTAATGTGTCAAAGCCGCAAAATCAACAACTACTACTTGTGGGGAATAAGAGGAATTATTCAGAATACTTTGGATTAAGTATTGTATTTAACTATTGTCGGCATCACGGTGGCGCAGTGGGTAGCACAATCACCGCACAGCAAGAAAGTCGTTGGTTCGAGCCTCAGCTGGGTCAGTTGGCATTTCTGTGTGGAGTTTGCATGTTCTCCCCGTGATCGCGTGGGTTTCCTCCGGGTGCTCCAGTTTCCCCCAGATTCCAAACACATGCGGTATAGGTGAATTAAATGAGGTAAATTGGCTGTAGTGTGTGTGTGGGTGTTTCCCAGTGTTGGGTTGGAGCTGGAAGAGCATCTACTGCAAAAAATGTGCTGGATAAGTTGGCGGTTTATTCTTCTGTGGCGATCCCTGATTAATGAAGAGACTAAAACGGAAAGAAAATTAATGAATTAATTGATTTTAGGGCGAAGCAGTGGTGCAGTAGGTAGTGCTGTCGCCTCACAGCAAGAAGGTCACTGGGTCGCTGGTTCGAGCCTTGGCTCAGTTGGTGTTTCTGTGTGGAGTTTGCATGTTCTCCCTGCGTTCGCGTGGGTTTGCTCCGGGTGCTCCGGTTTCCCCCACAGTCCAAAGACATTCGGTACAGGTGAATTGGGTAGGCTAAATTGTCCATAGTGTATGAATGTGGGCTTGAATGTGTGTGTGGATGTTTCCCAGAGATGGGTTGCGCCTGAAAGGGCATCCGCTGCATAAAAACTTGCAGGATAAGTTGCCGCTTCATTTCGCTGTGGCGACCCCGGATTAATAAAGGGACTATGCCGACGAAAATGAATGAATGAATAAATAATTAATTTTAGGAATGACTATGAATTTTGCCTCAAACACCTAATTTGTTGCTTATGAATAGTTAAGATAGCTGTTGGGTTTAGATACTGGGTATAGGTTAAGCGATGTAGAATAAGATCATGCTGAATATGTACTTTATAAGTACATATAATAAAATAGCAATAAATAGCTATTGAATCAATTAAATAAATAGCTTGATAAATAGCAATCTTAATAACAGGTTTTCAAATAATAAATTAATAAATAAATAAACAAACAAACAATCAAGTAATCCCATAAAAAACAATATCTTAATATATATCTTAATAGCAATATCTTAACAGGTTTGCTAATAAATAAATAAATAAATAAATAAATAAATAAATAAATAAATAAATAAATAAATAAATAAATAAATAAATAAATAAAATCTTAATATATATCTTAATAGCAATATATTAATAACAGGTTTGCTGATAAAAAATAAATAAATAGATAAATAAACCAAGTAGTCCAATAAATAAACAATTTCTTTCAACTTAAGTTTGCTAATAAATGAATAAAATAAATACAATAAATAATCCAGTAATGCAACAAGCATTAGCTTTATATTTATTTTAAATCTTAATTATAGGTTTGGTAATGAATGAATAAATAAATAATTAAGTAAATACACATTCCAGTAATCCAACGTATAAAAATATCTCAATATTTAAATCTTAATAGCAAAATCTTAAGTTTGCTAATAAATAAATAAATAAAATAAATAATACATGAATCATGCAACCAAGTAACACAAATAAATGATACATAAAGAAATCACATTTGACACAATGACACATAAATAATTAAATAAATAAATAAAAAATAAATAAAAATTGTAATTCAATAAATAAACAATATCTCAATACATATCTTAATAGCAATATCTTAACAATAGATTTGCTTGTAAATAAATAAATTAATAATACAATAAATAAACAATATCTTAATACATATTTGAATTGCAATACCTTAACAATAGGTTTGCTATTAAATAAATAAATATTTATTTATTTATTTAAATAAATAAATAAATTCCTACCAATCCATTTACTTATTTATGTAATTTATCATTTTTATTACATACAATTTGTTTTCAAAAAATGAATGTGTGTTTGTTTTAGAGTTTGTATGTAGTTCAGAGATTTTCTTACTTATTAGTTTACTTATTAAAAACAGCTTAGGAGTCTACATCTTTGGTGACATTATTATAAGCTGTACGAGTGCCATCAATTCTGAGACTAATTTACATTTAGTTTCTGAAACCTAATGCTGAATCGTGCTGTTCAGCAGTCCACAATACACTAAAGTGGCCAACTATATGATTCGCAAAAGCCCCTTTGTTAGGAGATACTGTTTTGTCACTAATTGTTGCTTAGCTAATTAGAAATTGATGCGGCCAATTAAAACTACAAGGCCATTAACTGTGACTTCCCCACTAAAAGTTTAATTACTTTTCCTTTTGTTTGGAAGGAAATATTTAAAGCCAAACGGGAATCAATCAGTATCAAACGTGTTTGCTTTCTTGATGCTTATCCATTGGATGCCGCATTAAGAAAGTTAACATAGCCTTAATTATTTAGCCACTGCTGAGAATTGACTTTCCAGTACAACAAATAAGAAGAGTTTTTGCTAGCTTTAAACACTTCCAGCTTTTCAAAACACCCTGCATTGAGTCTTTTTAGGATTGCTTATAATTCTGGAGTGCAGAAAAATAGGGGGAAAGAGGAATAAAATGGGATGAGTATGCCAGC